TCAAGATAAGTTTATTTAAATCCAAATCTAAAATAAAAAAAAATATTTAGAATCTCTAATCTAGAAATTACCAGTTTCTAAAAGCTAATATAATTAAAATTTAAAAATTAAATAAAATTGAACCTTAAACCTAGATAATAATAAGTTTTAAAAGCTAGTAAATTATAAATATTACAATACATCACATATAGGCTATGAGTAACAATATAAAAGAAATTTAAAAAAAAATTGTAAATTGCTTCTGATTTTGTTTATAGATTTTTTTTTACCCCCTTCTCTCTGCTTATAATCTTTGCAAATCTGTTGAACTTTTATCTGCTATATTTATATTATTTTCTTACTAAACTACAGACACTTCTAATAAATTATAAGAATTTGTTTAAAAATTTTTTTTCTTAGTATTACTTTTTATTTAAAGAAATAATCAAAGCACTTATAAACAAAAGGATAGGTTTGGTTAAGTTATAGTTAGCTAGCAAACTATAGTTAATAATGGCTAACTAGAGTGGCTAGCCCAGTATATAAAATCTCACCTCAAAAACATGTGAATATTGTATACATTGTATACTTAATTTATATGAATAATTTTAAAAATTAGTGCACAATAAATTTTTATAATACTATAAAACATTTTATATAAATATTTACATATATAAAAATAGACTGTATGCACAATGTGCTCCATGTGCACATAGTTAAGATTTTATTAATAAATTTGGTGCACTATGTGGCTAAAAATCTTGTGAATTTTGTGTATATTTCTAGTTAAAAACATGTGAAAACTTTTAAAAATATGTGCTTATAAGCACATTGTATACATAGATTTTATACACTGGGCTATCCAATGCAAAGTTTTTATTTTCTGGCTAATAAATTATAATTATTGCTTAGTTTAGCATGAAGTGCACAAATTACAGAATTATTGCAAGAAATATCCTAGCTATCATGTCACAGCAGATTCTCGATTTTAATTGGCTAAAAGTGATGAACAAAAATTTAGGCTGAAATTACTCAAAATTTTACTAATGAAATCACACCTGCCTATTAAGTGAAAAATGTTCCTGTACTAATTTTACCATAGTATAGGCCTATTTCTTTAAAAATTTCTACTTTTGTAATAAAAAAATAGAAACTTAATTCCGGCCAAAAATTACATAACAATTGTATAATGTGGACCAAAATTTTGTTGATCATGGCAGTTGAGAATCTGCTGTAGCAAAATTGATGCGACAGCTAAGGTATTTTTATTGTAAGATAGTAAAAGACAGACATGCTTTATTTAACAATCGAGTAAATTTTTGTCGATGATTTGCAAGAATACAAAATTTTGATAATAATAAATAATAATAGTTTGCAAAATGTATCCAATTTCAATAATTTTTTTCATTTCAATTCTATAAACTTACAGAATTAAAATAAAAAATTTTCATCAAATTTGAATCAATAGTTGTTGATAAATATTCAATTTTTTTGTAAAATTCAAATGTTTTTTAAAATTTTAGCGAAGATTTCACAACAACTATCTATCAAACTTCAATGAAAATTTTTATTATTTTAATTATACAAAAGCTTAGAATTAAAAAAATTTCTACTAAGTTAGAGAAATCTTTGCTAGAATCTTGAAATTTTTTCAAAATTTCGTATGGGTTGATTTCAACCGATTTACATTTTCAAAACAAGTCAATTTTGCGGGTCATTTGGCCTATTGGAGATGAGTTTTAAATAGTGTTCTGCACGGATCGAATCGAATCCAAGCTAGGATTCGAATCCGTATCATGCAGATTCGGATTTGATCTGATCCGAATTTATGAAAGATTTCTTTATTATAGTTGTACAAAAACCACTTGTTACTTTAAATTATATCGACCCACCTGAAGCGCAAACTCCCAAGTGCAAATCTCTAACAAAAAAAATGCCAATCGATTTTAATTAAAAAAAAAAACGAATAGATTTATGAATTTAACTAAAAAATAAAATAAAAATCAGACTTATGAGAAGTCAACATATTGAAAAGACGGCTAAGCAGGAATTTAGGGACAAGCCAATTAAGTATTTAATACAACCATTAATTTTAATCGCCATGTGAGAAAGCATTCGAAGCTTGATATCGTATAAATGAAATAACGCCCACCTGCGTGTTATTTCGAATACGCCCATGTGCGTAATTTCGAAATAAGAGAACATTTAAAATTCAATACAGCCAACCTTCAGTAAATGCGCGTTGTTTGGTAAAAATACATTTATAGAGTATTCATTTATGGAGAATAATCTATATATAATAGGGATGTCATTGGCTTCACTTGAAGCCAGATTTAGCCACAGATTGAAGCCAAGCTGAAGTTAAGCCAAGCTAATAGTTTAAGTTATAGCTTGAGCTATAGTTTAAAAATTGCTTAAAGTTATAAAAAAAATAACCATTAATTCTGGCTTTAATTATAGCTAACAGCTTAAACCATGGCTTAGTTATAGCTTCCCTATAAAAAGTTTTTATATAGAAAATATATAAAATATATAGAATTTATACCAAAATGTTGCAAAAGCTCAACGAAAACTTATTGTTTTAAATCGATCTAAAACGTTGAGTTTTTGCAACATTTTAGTATAAATTCTGTATATTTTCTGAATAGACAATATTTTCTGAATATTTTCCGTATAAAAACTTTTTATAAAGCTTGGTTATGGCTTAATTCGGGACGCTCATGAGCGCTAATTCGAGACCATATGTTATTTTTGAAGAACCCGATTTTCAAAATAACGACTACGAGCGTTATTTCGCGTTATACGGTAAGTATATTTAATAATTGCATAATTTGGAACTTGATCTAATTATGTACTAATCATATCCTCATTTCAGAAAACAAGCATAACGATAAGAAATAGACACGCTATATAGTCCACAAGAAGCAAGTATAGGTAAATCGATAAAGCTTGCCTTATAATTTTATCGATTTACCTATAGAGCCATCGACATTCCGATATATATTGAAACGCTCATATGAACCCTATCTTAAAAGTCTCCTATTTACGCCAAATATCTGTTTCAAATTAGGTCCATATCAGGGTTACATAATGCCGATTGGTTCCCTTCATTAATTATGACAAACTATATTTTATTTGAGGAGTTCAAAGAATGTACAGTTTCTAGTCTTTATTAAAGGTCTTTAGGTGCATGACATCGATAATCATTTATTCATTTATTCATGCTAACAGATAGATCTTAAATGAATATATTTCATTCTAAATTAATAACCTCGACTAGATATGGGCCGATCTATGAAAAAGCGCATTTTGCTCATCCCTACCCCGACTATCATCTTTATATTGTAACCACTGAATAATTTATTCGGTTATCCATCTATTATTATTAAAGGTGAGACCTTGCAGATCATGATGTCATGTAAAATCTGATTCTTGGAAAATATGTGACCTTGAGATCTAGTGATGCGAACGGCTAGAGCCGAGCCGCAAGCCGAACGGCTAAGCCGAGCCGACCATCGGCTCGGCTATGGGTCTACTAATAAGGTATCGGCTCCAAAATGGCTTGGCTAAGACTTTGAAGCCGATCATCGGCTCGGCTATGGGTCTACTAATAACGTATCGACTACAAAAATGACTGACTTTTAGCCAATAGTAGATCACCAAGTATCGCGACTTAAATTGTGCCGAGGGTGATCGGTTTATGAATGGCTCGGCTCGAGGGTGATCGCTTATATATGACTCGGCTCTGGTTTTAGAGCCGAAGGATCGGCTTGGCTTAGTAAACGTTAGCCGTGAGCCGAGCCGAGCCGTTCGCATCACTATGCAGATCATGATGTCATATAAAATCATGGGAAATCAACCGATTTTCTGATTTTAGGAGATTTCAACGAATACGTACAGGAATATGTAGATAATCAATAAAAAATCTAGAATCTCGAAAATTTTCATCGCAAAATCATGGGGTCACACCTTTTTGCAAACTGCAATAAAATATAGGCATTAATGATAGAAAATTATGATCAATAGGGAATAATATCTCAAATTTTTCGCTATCATCATCAGGGACGAAATTGACAATTTTTTCAAAAGATTTTTTTTTTGCATAAATCAATTTAGAATGAGAATAGGATCATTTTTTACTTAAGACACAAAAGTAGTTGTGTTGGTAAAATTTTGCAATATAGCTCCTTAAAGTTTGCATTTTCATAAGATTTGCATGATTTTCTGAAGATTGTTTTTCAATTTCGTTCTTTTTCTCAGCACTTAGCCCATTTTATACCCGAACATAATAGATTCTGTATAACAAATATACAGTATATAGGCCGATTCAATTATGTTCGTATTTAGTGGTGACACATTATTATTGAAACGCAATATTTTGAGACGCGCATGACGTTATTTTGAATAAAATATGATTAAAAAAGTGAAATTTCAAAATAGTGCCCACATGAATTATTACGTCACGGAAGTACACTTATAAAGATGTCTAACTATCACTATATTGTAATAAGTACTAAAAGCGCAATATATTAATGCGAATGTAAATTTGGTCAAGTATTATGTACTTATAAGGAGAATTGACTCTAGATCTTTTTGATTTTAGTATATTTAGAAAGGTTGTAATTATTTTATTTTAATGTCGATATTCTAAAATAGATGATCCTAATTTATTGTCTTTTATTATTTATAACGAAAATTTATTAGTAAAATTCGAATTTGGATTCTTCCATCCATGATTTTGCAGAATGCTGAAAATTATTGATAAATTGAAGTTCCTATTCAATAATATCCGTAATTAGTTATTGACCCTAGTTCAGAATTTTTTTTATATAAAATGAAACACTTTTTCACAAAATAAGGATAAAACAATTATCACGATGGAAAACGAAAAATTCACATCTCGTAAAAAAGAATTCAAAGCATATCCCTCTACTAGCACTAGATCAAAATTTTTTCCGATCAGTGTATTGATTTTTACTATTTCCATAATAATCTATAAATTTTTAATTTTTGGTCCTTTTATGCCACTACCATGCCGATTCTTAAGAATAGGATGTCTTGATATGAAGGTGCAAGGATATGTAACACCTGAATTTATTGGTGCAAAAAAAGCATTTGTAAAAAATTTTGAAAATGGTAATGAAGTTGGAGCAAGTGTTGCAGCTTACTATAATGGTAAGCTAGTGGTGGATTTACAAGGTGGATATGCTGATCGTGAGGCAAAGCGTAAATATGACGAGGATACTTTGCAAATAGTTTTTTCTTCCACTAAAGTTATGGTATAACTAGTTCCTTTTTTTTTTTTTTTAAGTTTAATTAAATTCATCTTACTTTTTATTTTATTTATTATTTTTTTTAGAGTTCAATCGTAATAGCATATCTAGTAGATCGAGGACTTCTTAATTATGACGAAAAAATATCCACATATTGGCCAGAATTTGCTCAAGGTAATAAAGAAAATGTTACACTTCTGGATCTAGTAAATCATCGGGCTGGAGTAAACTATATTGATAAATCAGAATTTGAAGATATTGATAAATTAGCGAAAATTCTTGCTGATCAACCACACTTATTTGATGGAGTTCCTGTTCGTGCATATCATGCAGTAACTCGTGGATGGTATTTAAATGAGATTGTTCGTAGAGTAGATCCTAAACATCGTACTATTGGACAAATTATCTCTGAAGAAATTTTGAAGCAATATGATTTAGAATTTCATTTATCATTACCTCCGAATCTTGTACCAAGAGTTGCAAATATTTATACTGCACCTTTTGCTGAGAAATTTATGTTGATGCGTAATCTTTTGTTAGATTTGTGGAATAAAAAGATATCAATTTCTTTTATTTTGAATTTTAGGGATGATTTACTGATTAAAACTTTTAATCAAACCATTAGTCCTGATTTTCCTACTATTTTTACATTAGAAGAGGTTACAAAGTTTGAAGAGTTCGCCTTTGAATGTCCAAGTGCTCTTGGATTCACCAACGCAAAATCAATCGCTAAATTGGGCGCCGTTATTACGAATAATGGACGATCTCTTAATGATAAAAATAAATCTAAACCTCTTCTTTCAAAAAATACTATTGATCTCATGTCTACTAAATTGCCAATAGCTTGGGATCATGTTATTAAAAGAAATTTTACACCTTCCGTCGGTGGATTTGTATATCTTAAATTTCCTGGTATTGAAGATGTAGAATTCTTAGGATGGGGAGGATTTGGTGGAAGCATATTCGTATGGAATCAAGAACTAGGAATCTCATTTGGTTATGCTATGAATGGCATATGGCGTCCTAGGATGAATGGATTTATTGGGGATGAAAGAGGGTATAGTGTGTTGAAAGAAATTGTAAATGTTGTCAAGAAATTGAAAAACGACCAATCTGATAGCTCATCTACAAAGTAACTAATAATATTATGTAAAAATTATTAAAAAGAGTTATATTTGGACAATATAAACTTTGCTTCATCGAACGTTCAACTTCAGATTGTGATTAATATATCTTTTATAGTTCTATTATGCATATTTATTTGGTAAATACATAAAAATCGTAAATTTTAATATTTTGTTTATACCTGCCGGATAATGTCGGGCCGTAATTATAAGTATATGAAAAAGCCGTTACTATCTCTGTCATGGTATATTGACAACCATAAGCTGATGAAAAGTGTTATAGATTCTCAATATACCCAGGAAAATATTTTTAATTTAAGATAACTTTTAGCCATTCCCATATATTATGACGACTATCGATAGTAAAATGGTTTATAACATACAAATGGGATCGAAAAATTTAATCTAGTACTTTTCAAGCAACAAAGATTTACGACTAATATTACATACCTTTAGTTACGCCATAAAATTCAATAACATAATTATTAGGATGTGTTTAAATCTTTCGTAAATTTTCTAATATTTCAAGCTTAGCATATTGTATAAATAAAATTATGTTAATATAATCGCTACAAAATAAAATTTATAGAGTTTTTGCATAAAATTGTTTATACTTCTCGAATAAATTCAGAGGTTCTATTTTCTCCTATTATACTTTTAAGGACAAGTTTACAACAATTATTCCACCAACATTTTACTATTTTAGATCCGCCAATGAAAAACATGTTTGCCCTTGATTGCATCTTCAATTGCATCTTCAATGGATTTCATCGAAAAATTTCCGGATTTAAGATATTTAAGTTCGGTGCTTTTGTACAGTTATGGACGAAGAACCGATAATTCTTAGAAGAAAAAAAAACTTACAAAAAAGAAAATTATCACGAACTTCAATATGAGAAACGCTATAGAAACCGGGTATTGTAACGAAACTCATTACTATCAGTACCCTAATAAAGTTACTTTTATATTTATAGATCCTATCAATTTTCATTTACGTATAATTGTTTTCCTAAAATTTTTTCATATTTCTTTAGAATGATGCTAAAGGTACAATCTTTATATTAAATATTTCAATACGTAAGTTTTTTTAATCAATGCTTTCTATGCTTTCGGTAAGAAGTACTGCATTAATAAAAATACAGTATAACCTGTCAAAACCGATACTGTCAAAACCAATAACCTGTCAAAACTGATAAAAAATTGATCCACCATCTTTTAATTAAATACGTATAGTAATTTTACCCTTCAGACCTGATAACCTGTCAAAACTGATACAAATTTGGTCCACCATGCACATCGGTTTTGACAGGTTATACTGTATATTTATACCTGGTGTTCTGGCTGAATTAGCCCTGGGCATAATTACTTCATGAATAAAAAATATGTTAATACCGAGTGTTTTCGCCACAACTAGCCCGGGCATAATCTTTGCATGAATAAAAAACATAACTAGGACATAATTTCTGCATGAATAAAAAATATATTTATACCGAGTGTTTCCATCATGATTAGCCCAAGGAATAAATACTACATGAATAAAAAATATATTTATTATACCGTGCTTCCAGTGTGACTAGTCCATTATTGTATGAATAAAAAATTTATCTATATCGGTGTTTCCAGCGTGACTGGTTCATTACTGCATGAATAAAAAATAGATTTATACCGGGTGTTTCATAAGCTGCTATACACGGATCACGGTGAATTATTTATGAACATATTCGTATGTGTAATGACAAAATTAGTAAAAGTTAGCATGAAGTTTATTTTTTAAATTTAGTATAACTATTTTAGTACATCAAATGTTTATGCCGCTACGTTCAAAAATATTAAATTTCATTCAAGACATGAATGACGGACTCGTAAATTATTTCGTCTTATTAAGCTCAGCCTCCATAAAAATTTAATCCTACGTGGTTAGGTTTTTCCTTTACAGCTGTTCTCATAAATTCAGGAACAACTGATAATAATGATTCGATAAATCTTTGATTTCGGAATGATCGATATATAACAGATAGAGATGGGCAAGGTAATTACTTATTACGTAAAAAGTCACATCACACAATGCGACGATTCTCCAATGATATATACTTGCAATTAATAACATGCTAAATCGACACGTTATGTGAAATGACTTTTTACGCAATAAGTGATTACCTTGCCCATCTCTAATAACAGATAATGGTATAATATTTATATAATATTTTTATAATATTTATATAATATTTTATAATATTTATATAATATTTTATAATATTAATATAATATTTATAGATGATTTCATCAACGATTTTGTTTCCTTTTGCAAGTTATTATAAAGGATAGAAATTGTAGATGTTCGTAGATTATCTTACTAGCTGAGTAAAGCAGTGTTGGTCAATTTAGAGTAGCGATCCGTAGCTTTAAAATCCTAGCTATCCGTATAATTTTAGAATCCTATGCGGATTTATAAATAAACTATCCGAAAAATAATTATACTCGGATAGACTCGGATTATTCGTCAGATATCCGGTTATCCGTTTTGGTGTATAAGATTATTATTATTTTTTAATGATTATATATAAATAATAAATTATTATTATTGTTTTTTATTTTTATTTATTTTTTTTCTTATTATCAATACTTTCGTATACTTCTAACAAAAGACGAAACATATCTGATTCTAATATTTCTGACTTTAACATTTCTGACTCTAATGAAATTAATGAATCTTCTGAAGAAGTTATTACATTCGAAGAAATTTTCAAAACTATCTAAATTGGTAAGAATTCATCTAGCCGTCCTAGCAACATCCACCCAAGTGAACGTTTATTCAGTGATGCTGGCAACTTAATGACATCAAAGAGAACAAGAATTTCCCCAGAACTTTTTAAAAGAATGATATTTTTATAAAGGAATATTGATAAATATTAAAATATTCATCCTGAATAATGTTATTATTTTTTTACATTATCGTTATCGTTTTAAAATATTAAATATTATTATAATCGGATATTGGATATCTGCAAAAAGGATAACGGATAATCCGATCCGATTTAATATCAGATTCGGATATATCCGTTTACAGCCAGTGTAGGAAATCTATTTTAAAATCTATGTTTTCATGAGAACATGTTTATTTAATTTAATGTTCTCAAAAAATTTTTTATATTCTCTTAATAAAAATTTATAGTTTCTCTCTCTCTCTTTCTCCTTCTTTCGTGCCTTTCACTGTTAGGATTCATTAGAGTTTGGTAGTTTAGTGTGTTGATTTAGGTTAGTTTGGTTTTATTGATATTCGCATTGTTTATATTTTGTGGTTCCGGAGTATTTCTCATGCTCACAACGTATGCAAGTGTAAATGGTGCACCACTGGTACCCTTACAGCTTTGATGAGGCCAAAATTTAAAATTTATTTTTTAAACTAATTTTTAAAAAAATAATCAATTACTGTAAAATTCTCGTACAAAACTTGCTCGCTATTCTAATAATCACAATATGTGGTTAAGATTGTGTTAATTTGCGTTGGAATTATTAAAATTTCATCATGAGTTACCTATAAACTTACTATTTTCTCAACACATAATTGGTATGAATATATATAAATATCAAATAAGTAGCTGCACGGCATTGTCGCGCTAAACCAAGAACGGACAACAACTACAATACAGAATAGTTATATAAGTTATAGTTTTGAATTCAGATAAATAAATATCAGGTATAAAACTAAATACAGCATAACTATATTGATATAAGACATTATAATTTAAACAGACAAAAAAGTTCATAAGACTTTTAGATGTATATAGTATAGAGTTTAAAATATCTCTTTAAAAAACATATAACAATTCACTACAATTTTCCAATGCTAGCCTTAATAATACATAACGCCGGAAAGATATTAAAAATAGGGGTATTTCACACCCTATACTGCAGTACTGTACGGATCCGTTTATAATAATCTGCATAATTGATGATAATACTATAGACTAACACAAGCTGAACTAATGAATATCAGATGCATGCCAGGAGAAAATGCTGATATTCAGCAAGTATTAGGCAGATCTATATCGGACTATCAGAAAACTTGTCTTCCGGTATGCAACGTTAATAATTGATTCAAGTGGATAAGAAGCCAAATGAGGCGTGAACAGCTCATATTAAATACTTAGACCAATTAGACCAATGAATAATCATTAAACATAGACTAAGAGTGCTCATTGTGATTAGATAGCTATTGAGATTATTCATAAACAATGTTGGAAATCTGTTTTGAGATTCATGTTCTCATGCGAACAAATTTATTTAATTTAATGTTTTTCAGAAATTTATTTATGTTTCCAACAATAAAAATTTATTTATATTCCTATTTATTAAATTTTTTATTTCAGAAAATATCAAATTTATATTTATATAATACTTATATAGAGAACATAATTTTCAAGTATTATGTTCTCAAATTTTTTTTCATAGAGAACATTTACAAAATATTAAATGTTCTCAAATCTAAAGGTATGTTCTCATGAGAACATAAGATTTCCTACACTGTTTACAGTTATTATCATAATTCCTGGGACACATGTAAAAATTTGCCGAATGGTTTTTCGGTTAAGTTATTGATTCAGCATGATCCGTATAATAAAATAAGCTATATATTTTTATATCATATAATAACTGTCATAATAATTTTCATTCGAATGCTTGTCCAAAAATGTTTGCTTTAGTTTGTACGAAAATTTATGGAATAAACTGGTTATGTCAACCAATAAACCTTAACAAGAAGGAATTGAATATAAATTAGACTTTTAATAACAAATATATTACTCGAACAGGTACCGTTATTAAAAAAGTTAAATATGTTCGACTGGTTTAAAAATGAATCTTGGGTTAAGATTCCAAGCAACCAAGATATTATTAATATTTGTCGAGAATACATTAAGAATTATGATAAACGAAATCTAATTAAAAATTTTTATGTTTATATTTTTTTTTGTCTTCAACAAGAGACGAAAAATAATTAGAAATAAATAAAT